GTAATGGTCCTTGTGAGTTTGTTTCATGAAGACCTCTATATCCTGTCTCCCCTCTTTTTTACTTTGACCAAACAGTCCAAGAAACATATTAATGTCTAGTGTTTTGGTAAAAGACTGAAATCACATGTTGTAAGGCATTGCTGATATCTAAATGATTAGAATCAAGAATGACGCATTGCCAGACTTTGATTCAGTGTCTCTGCCAGGGACACATCATGGTTAGTCTTTACTTTTGTTAGTTGGCCAATCACTGCTGAGCTTGTCATCAGTGGATTGGGTTTGGCTGTACCAAAACTCTGGAGCATGCTTGATGCCTGAAGTTCTACTGCCAGGTGCTGGGCTTCTGTCATACCATGTGCTAATGGATTCTACTGAATGTCAACAGGGACCTCATCCATGCTGATCTGACTACTATTTTAGTCACTGGGGACACTGATTAACCTGAGATGATCAAGTAATTCAAGAATATTGCTGGGGACAATGGGGTAACACCTGAACTGGTCCAAAGCTGCAGTAGTCAGCTGGACTGTTAGCTAAAGAGAAGATGTGCTGTTGTTGAATATTCCAGGCCTCCCTTACCCAGTTCTGTTGTTGAAAAATCCAGCGCTCCCTATCCCAGTTATGTTGTTGTGAATAAATCTATTCATGGACTATAGACAGTCATCACAACAAGAGATTCAGCTACTGTAAGTACCATGCCTGGAAACAAGGTTATTCTCACTTGAGAGCCCCACTTGCATTACACAAGGACCAGCTGGGTGTAGGCACTGCCATGAGAAACTTGATTAGGCTCCAATACTAACTCTTTGCAGAGACTCAACATTCAGTTACCACGTAGGTGCATGCTATTCCAGTAGCCTGCAGAGAGACAAATCTAAATGTAAAAACAACAGGGCTACAGATGTAGTTCATCCATTGTTGCATTTCAGTAGTGCTGTTCTCCAAGAGATAACAGCCATATGGATCCTTAAAGAGGAACTTTTTGAAAATTAACCCTTGCAGAGGGTAGCTCTATTTGTCTAGGGGGCGAAAGTAAAGAAAAGATACTAACTCGATCACCGGCCCACGCCTGGCTACTAGACTGGTCCCTGGCAGCCTCTTCTCCCCTGGGCTCCGGCGGTCTAAGGACATGTGACATTATCATGTCTAATACAGGTCTATTAGATGTGAAGACGCTGAGGGACATTTCACAGCCAGAGCGGAGGGGGGAAAGGTGAGCGGTCACTATCGCAGGACTGAGGATTGGGTGAGTATGACACAGAATTCGCAGATGCAATGTTTTTTTTTTCTGGTGCACAGCAGATGCTGCTCTCTTTCAGACATTTCCTCCCTAAATGAATCTCTATATGAACAGAACTGACAAAGGTGGTGAGGAGGGGGGAGGAAACATGCTGTTCTGACTCCTTCAAAGGCAGGTCGAAATTGATTTTTGAAAATGTGTCATTTTTTTAAATAAAAAATTATAAAAAAAAAATATGAATAAAAGAGACCAGATTTAAATTGTCAAAGGCAATATAAATTGTTCACATGCAATATTTCATAAAACATTTTTTAAATGTCATTTTTATAAAATTAAATAATGAATATAATAAATAAAGAAACTTGTGCAATATTACTACGGATTCTATTTAATGATACAGATAGACTCTAAGTGTAATGATCACCCACAACCCTTCCTGTCACCTCACTCTGACTTTTGTGATATGTAGTGAATGCGCTGACTGATCAGGTTTAAATGGTTATAATCTTTAAGCAATATTTTAAGAAATGAAAAAGTAACACAAATGACAGTGATGGAGGCCAAAGGTATTTTTTTTCCAAAGGAAGGATGTTGATTGGCTCACATTGTTAGTAGGGGCTTATCTATATATCAGCGAATGATTGGGACCCAATAGGTTTTATGTGGCAATGAGGGGCCTTATACCTAGTCTAGTCTAGTCTAGTCTAGGGTCTAGCCCCTTCTCTTCTGGGCTCCCTTTTGGGTTTTTTATTGCAATCATCTAATGCTTCCTCCTATATACTTAAAATCATACCCATTCAACCAATAAGTCACAGTGGAAAAAAAATGCTTGAATGTACGCCTTCTCCTCTTGGACAATGTGCTCCATATTTCGCCCTTCATCTTTCTTCCCTGGTGGGAAGTGCATTACATGCTCCTGGCTTTTATCCGATGCATTTGGCGAACACTGAATGGCTGTAAGACTGACTCTTTTCACTCCACAGAGACAGAGGGTGCGGATCTTTTAGGTGCCTGGTCTGATGTTGGGAGGGGGGGGTTGTTTGTGGCCTTAACAGGTCTTTTTCCTTCCCCCAATTAGTGGTCTCTCTTCAAAAGAGCCACTGTTTGGTTCTTGTTGGACTGGTTTTGACTGGTTACTAAGGATTGGGGACACCATAGTCTTTCGTTTCTCATGATTTTCACCATCACTGGTAATCTTCCTAGTTTCTTTCCTTTCCTTCTTTCTGTTTTGACAAAATCCCTGTATGGATACCCACCACTCGGAGATGTTTAATTTCCTTTGCCTTGACCTCTCTTGCAGGTGGGGATTTTCTCTGCTTGGTGGTTTAGAGTCCCGATGACTTCCAGTTTGTTACCTAAAGGATAGTGGGGTCAAATAGGAAGTAATGGTCCTTGTGAGTTTGTTTCATGAAGACCTCTATATCCTGTCTCCCCTCTTTTTTACTTTGACCAAACAGTCCAAGAAACATATTAATGTCTAGTGTTTTGGTAAAAGACTGAAATCACATGTTGTAAGGCATTGCTGATATCTAAATGATTAGAATCAAGAATGACGCATTGCCAGACTTTGATTCAGTGTCTCTGCCAGGGACACATCATGGTTAGTCTTTACTTTTGTTAGTTGGCCAATCACTGCTGAGCTTGTCATCAGTGGATTGGGTTTGGCTGTACCAAAACTCTGGAGCATGCTTGATGCCTGAAGTTCTACTGCCAGGTGCTGGGCTTCTGTCATACCATGTGCTAATGGATTCTACTGAATGTCAACAGGGACCTCATCCATGCTGATCTGACTACTATTTTAGTCACTGGGGACACTGATTAACCTGAGATGATCAAGTAATTCAAGAATATTGCTGGGGACAATGGGGTAACACCTGAACTGGTCCAAAGCTGCAGTAGTCAGCTGGACTGTTAGCTAAAGAGAAGATGTGCTGTTGTTGAATATTCCAGGCCTCCCTTACCCAGTTCTGTTGTTGAAAAATCCAGCGCTCCCTATCCCAGTTATGTTGTTGTGAATAAATCTATTCATGGACTATAGACAGTCATCACAACAAGAGATTCAGCTACTGTAAGTACCATGCCTGGAAACAAGGTTATTCTCACTTGAGAGCCCCACTTGCATTACACAAGGACCAGCTGGGTGTAGGCACTGCCATGAGAAACTTGATTAGGCTCCAATACTAACTCTTTGCAGAGACTCAACATTCAGTTACCACGTAGGTGCATGCTATTCCAGTAGCCTGCAGAGAGACAAATCTAAATGTAAAAACAACAGGGCTACAGATGTAGTTCATCCATTGTTGCATTTCAGTAGGGCTGTTCTCCAAGAGATAACAGCCATATGGATCCTTAAAGAGGAACTTTTTGAAAATTAACCCTTGCAGAGGGTAGCTCTATTTGTCTAGGGGGCGAAAGTAAAGAAAAGATACTAACTCGATCACCGGCCCACGCCTGGCTACTAGACTGGTCCCTGGCAGCCTCTTCTCCCCTGGGCTCCGGCGGTCTAAGGACATGTGACATTATCATGTCTAATACAGGTCTATTAGATGTGAAGACGCTGAGGGCCATTTCACCGCCAGAGCGGAGGGGGGAAAGGTGAGCGGTCACTATCGCAGGACTGAGGATTGGGTGAGTATGACACAGAATTCGCAGATGCAATGTTTTTTTTTTCTGGTGCACAGCAGATGCTGCTCTCTTTCAGACATTTCCTCCCTAAATGAATCTCTATATGAACAGAACTGACAAAGGTGGTGAGGAGGGGGGAGGAAACATGCTGTTCTGACTCCTTCAAAGGCAGGTCGAAATTGATTTTTGAAAATGTGTCATTTTTTTAAATAAAAAATTATAAAAAAAAAATATGAATAAAAGAGACCAGATTTAAATTGTCAAAGGCAATATAAATTGTTCACATGCAATATTTCATAAAACATTTTTTAAATGTCATTTTTATAAAATTAAATAATGAATATAATAAATAAAGAAACTTGTGCAATATTACTACGGATTCTATTTAATGATACAGATAGACTCTAAGTGTAATGATCACCCACAACCCTTCCTGTCACCTCACTCTGACTTTTGTGATATGTAGTGAATGCGCTGACTGATCAGGTTTAAATGGTTATAATCTTTAAGCAATATTTTAAGAAATGAAAAAGTAACACAAATGACAGTGATGGAGGCCAAAGGTATTTTTTTTCCAAAGGAAGGATGTTGATTGGCTCACATTGTTAGTAGGGGCTTATCTATATATCAGCGAATGATTGGGACCCAATAGGTTTTATGTGGCAATGAGGGGCCTTATACCTAGTCTAGTCTAGTCTAGTCTAGGGTCTAGCCCCTTCTCTTCTGGGCTCCCTTTTGGGTTTTTTATTGCAATCATCTAATGCTTCCTCCTATATACTTAAAATCATACCCATTCAACCAATAAGTCACATTGGAAAAAAAATGCTTGAATGTACGCCTTCTCCTCTTGGACAATGTGCTCCATATTTCGCCCTTCATCTTTCTTCCCTGGTGGGAAGTGCATTACATGCTCCTGGCTTTTATCCGATGCATTTGGCGAACACTGAATGGCTGTAAGACTGACACCTTACCAGTCTTCTCCAGGGTCCGCCAAGGCTGCCCTCTCTCACCTCTTCTTTTTGTTGTATAGAATTCTTTGTGGAATGTTATCAGAGGGATAACTGCACCAGGACGGAACACAAGGAAAGTAAAGTGCTCGCTCTACATGGATGATGTGACAGTGTTCAGCACAGACCAGCATTCCATCGACATGCTCCTCCACACCTGCAAGGACTTTGGTCGAGCTTCAGGGACAGAGGTCAACTGTGGGAAGTCAGAAGCCATGCTCTTCCTGGGCATCTGGTTTGAAGCTGAGGGAGCTCTGGGGAGCTCCTGTTTATGTGTTCAATGATAAATTGAACACAGTATTACATTCTGCCTACCACTGAAGGGTAGCTAAAAAAAATGATTTAGAATTGTACTGATGTAGTTCTTGGGATTTCATTGGTCGATGTATTTGGTTCAGAAGCTTTATTCCTACCTAAGGAAAATTTACAGATTTTAGCATTGAAGAACCCAATTGTGCTGCTTCTACCACTAACTGTGTCAGTTTGTTTGAATAATATAACGTAACACACTGGTAAAAGGTGGCATCCTACAACTCCATAGACAGAAGACAAGATGGCGACAATTTGTACAGCGCAGAGGTAGACACCTCTGGAGTTTTTGTAGACTGGGATAAAAAGAATCCAAACAAACATGTAGACAAGCATGCTAAAGGTGATACATCGAGCCTCATTGTATTTATCTGGCAGTTTCCTCCCCTTATAGGCAAGAAGGAAGCAAGTGAAGGCAAGCAATGCAATGTACCCTAGCATGATGCCAAAGCTCACATAGGATCCTTCATCACAATACATGAGGATGAATTGAGGTATGGTGTTATCGGTCATAGCAAAGGGGCTTTTCAGAATGAGCCACAATACACAAATAACAATCTGGGCACCAGTCAATACAGCCACGACAATGATCGAACGCTGGCGGGTGAAATTACCTATCCGCTTTCCCTTTTTGGCTGACTCGAAAGCCATGAGGATTAGAATAGATTTAATTAGGATGCAGTTGACAGCGATGGTGAAGCTGATGCCATACAACGGTTGTCTAATCTGGCAGATTAGGTCATTTGGTTCGCCAATGAAAAACCATATACTTGTCAGGCTGGATATTAATGACACCATCAGGAGGTAGGCGTAATGACCGCCTGCCGCTTTAACAGAGGAATGGTTAGTATTTGTCACAAAGAGAATTCCAATGAGGAGCACGCCTGCAATTCCAATGGAAGCAAAAGTCTCCAATGTCACAGCGAATGGGTCATTCCAATTCAGATATTGAATCGTCTTATTTTCACACTGTGAGCTTCCATTGTCTGACCACTGATGGTAAGGACACGCAAAGCATTCAGCCATGTCTGGAAAAAAAGAAATGATAAAAAAATATATATTTGAAATATGATTTTTTTCCATTATGTACATGTATTTTTGCTAATGTAAAGTGATCTCAACCACTGCGCCTATAACACTGTCTTGGTGTCCTATGTACAGTGCTGGGTCCTCTGACATCCAAAGGAAAGATGGCAAACTGTTGCCCCCATTCCGTCCATAGCTGAGGTGGATAGGGCTTGTGTGTTAAAATGTACAATAGCCAAGTCAGTGAAGGTGGCAAAATGTATAGCCATTGTCCCCTAACCCTAGGTTTGCCAACTTTTGGTCTATGGAGAAATGAAAAAAGAAAAGGCACGGGGGATGAGCATATTGTCATGTGGTTAAACCACTGTTACATAGCTACATAGTATTTGAGGTTGAATAAAGACATTAGTCCATCAAGTCCAACCTATTAGGATCTCATTCGAGGAGTACCTGTACCCCTGTATATTACCTGTACCCCTGTATATTACGGTCCCTTACGAAATCGTCCAAAAGTTTCTTGAACAATTCCACATTATTTGCTGAAATCACTGCCTGTGGCAGTGAGTTCCGGACCTCCTTAAAAATGAGGATTAATGGTCTAGTTATAACCTGGCTTAATTCCTTAAGTACCTTGGGGTGCAGGTTATCCGGACCCACTGCTTTGTTTGCATTGAACATTTTAAGTCTTTGTTGTATCCCGGTTTCTGTCAACCACTGGGGTATATTTTGAGTTAAACTGGGAGTTTTATCATATGTGTCAAACCCGTTTCCCTCCCGAGTGTATACTGAGGAGAAAAAAGTGCTCAGCGCCTCGGCCCTCTCCTTGTCGTTTGTGACTAGCTTCCCGCTTCCATCCTTTATTGGGCCTATCTGCTCCTTTCTCACCTTTTTACTGTTAATATATTGGTAACATTTTTTGGGGTTCTTTTTACTATCTGCGGCGACACTGTGATTTTGTAATGATAAGCACTGTGAAACAGAGCCAGGATTTCATTACCATAACGGTAAAGACAATTTGCTTTGGGAACTTGCTTTTATAAATGATATAAAATTCTGATTTTAATGTTCTTTTTTTAAAGATAATAAAATTATATTGTAAGGCTTCAACGACCTCCGGTCACAAAAGAGTTAAATATAATAGAAATCAATTTTAAAACATTATTTTTTATACTGAAATAATATATTGTTAAAACTCATACTAGTCTGAGGGTCTGTGTAGCAGGTGGCAGATATAAATCACAGACGTTTGCCCACAGGGAGGGAAGAAGCCAGAAAGCCCCCAGTAAACCTACCAGGCATGGGGGAGTAGGAGTTGTCGGCCCATGCAATACATTCATAGCAGCAGCTGATAAAGGAATGCTTCTTGAAATACCCAGGCTTGCATGTTGCCGTGCAGTTAGAAAAGGGAACCTGCAGGATAAAATTGCCATTATTAAAACTTATTAAGTTAATAAGTTAAAATTAAAAATTATAAAAGTTACAGTGAAACAGTGGAAGAAAATATGCAATGTTTCAGTAATACCAGTTCAGTACAGTGTGATCTAAGAATAAAAGTTGGGTGAATGGCAGAGGTCAAGACAGAGCCAGAAAAGATAGAAGTGAACGATGGCTTTGATTGAAATGCATTTAAAAGCAGCTTGCCAGGCAGGGTGTAACATGTGAAAATGCATTTCTGATATATACATATTAGGAGGGTTATTCACAAAGCCGCCGAAGGCAACTGAGGGAATAACTCACCCGAAGTAAAGTATGCCAAACAACGTTCGGCTATTCACTTTAGGCTTGTACGGCTGATTTCAGCCGTACATCGGCTGAAATCAGCCGTACATCGGCTGCCTTGGGCTGCACTTCGGTCATGCTCTGCATGTTCGGCTGAGCCAAAGTGCAGAAGGAATTCGACTCAGCCGATCCAACATCTGGATCGGCGGAGTCGAAGCTCCGGCAGCTCACTCGCTGCCGCTCACACCTATTCACATAGGGGCCGAACGGCAGTGAGTGAATAGCCGAAAGCTGCTGAGTGGCATTTGGCTCAGCTCTTCAGCTCGATACCTCCATGGTACCGAGCAGAATAGGAAAGCAATGAAAAAATTAAAAAGAAGTTGAAATTTAATAACAAAAATGAAAATAAATAATAAATTTAACAAAATAAATTGGGATTTATATATATATTTTTTAAACACATTGGCCGGAGCTAGCAGTGAAAGCTAGCTCTGCCCAACTGTTTCCTATTGGCCGGCACCTGCTAGAGTCTTCTAGCAGGTCCCGGCCAATGAATAACAACTGGGCGGAGGACGTCACGGCTAGCTCAGCCCATTTGTCATTGTTTTATAACAGTTCAGCATCCCAAGGTCATTTGGGGACGCTGATCTGTCATTTCGGCTGTCATTGGCAAGGCGTTCAGGCGGCTTTCGGCCGGCCGTTCCCCCTGCGTCAGGTGTGACACTTTTGCTTGGTCGAGCTGAAGCATATGCCTCCAGATGAGCTGAGCCTCTCGGCCGCCTTCAGGATCTGTACTGTGAATAAGCCTGTACAGCAGCCCTTCCGTTCAACTGAACTGAAGGGCTCCCGCAACTGACGCTAGACAAAGGATCAGCTGAAGCTACGGCTAATCCTTCCTTGTTACAATACTAAGATCCAGGTCTGTACGTACAGGGGCCTGGTCTGCCATGTACGTGTGCAGCGTATCATGTATATTCCCTAGTGTTTGCAGACGTGCATGCATTAGCATGCATCTCTATTACTGGGTATGCACACATGCCAAGGTGTGTATTTAAACTCCTTACATTATGGTGGCCAGTGATGTGACTTCCTGCCAGATACCAAGTCATGAGTTTATTATTGTTCTGCCTTGATTAGATTTCCCGACTCTACCTGTATGTTCTGCCCCTGTTGCTGACCATACTCATTCTTGTCATTTTCTTGCCTGACACCAACCTCAGCCACTGCCTGGGCACTGACAACTCTCTTACCCGATGTCCATCTTGACCTCTACCTGAACCCTGAACTCTTGCAGTATCACTTTTCTGTCTCCACAGCATAGTCACCCTGTTCCTGCAACACCTTTTCTCTCACTCCTACGATGCTTACCTCATCTCTAGTCCAATTACCAGTATCCATGCTAACCCCTCTTCCAGCCCCCCCACCTCTCTCAATGCTCAACCCAGCTTCAGTCCCCTCACATCTCTTCTGCTCAACCCACCTCCAGACCTCTAACCTTTCTACATGTTTATCTCACCTACAGTCCCCTCACCTCTCTCAATGCTCACACCTCCTCCAGTCCTCACTGGTCTCCATGCTCACCCCTTACCTGTCTCCTAGCTTACCCCACCTATAGATCAGTAACCTCACTACATGCTCAGCCCACCTCCAGTCCCCACAACTCTCTCCATGATCACCTCACCTTCAGTCCTTCCATTCTTCCCATGCTCACCCTTGTCAGAAGGATTGGATGGCACTCAGTAGACCTCCCTTCTATTTAGGCAGCAAAAATAAGCAGTACACTGGGGAATCATAAAAGCCAGTGCTCTACAATGATACTAGGCCCCCTCGCCACTTTGTTGCACAGCATGGGAAGTATGCGGTGATTGTAGGCTTTAAGACAGGTGGATTCTAAAAACTGCAGTGTTGTGCTTAGAAGGAGGGGGCATTTGTAAAGGCATTGGGATCTGTTAGTATGTGCCTGTCAATAGCAACAGAAATACAGTCCTAATAGTTGCAGGATAGCCATGAAGAAAGATCCATAGCAGTGTCTTTATGCTTGGCTGATCTATGTTACTCTCCAAGCTGCAGTATATGTGGCACAAGATGGGGACACAAGGGACTAAGCTGTGGAATGTTGAACAGGGACTGGGGGTCCCCTGGAGTAATGGGCTCGGGGCAGCTACCCCTTTTTTCTTTGTTACTGAGGTGGGCTTAGTCACAAGGACAAGTCACGGGATATCTTTCTGATCATGGCAGAAATAAAAGCAAAATTATTTATAGGGTGGGGGAGAGAGTTAGAATATACATGAGGTTTGTACTGTTATAGGTCTCTTCTGGTATAAGTGACACCAGCACCGTCTCATTTCTTTTATGGCCTCACCACAGAAGGGAGATAAGGAAAATCTACCCAGTGAGGACACCGACAGCAAAAAAACCGAGCGATTCTCAGCTTTAACCCGTTCTTTCAGAAAGTAAAATACAAGTTTGGCTGGAGTTTAGCTTTGGCATGAGGTTAAAGAAGAACTATGGGGTCAGGGCTTTTCCCCATAGTTCTCCTTAGGGTAACGGGAGGACACAAACTAGCGTCCTCCCGTTACCCTAAGCTCAGTATACCGCGAGCTACAGCTCGCGGTATACTGAGACGCCGCAGCCGGAGCGGATCCCGACATCGATGTCGAGATCCGCCCAGCTGCGTGAGTGACAGCTGGCTCTGCCTATCTAGAGGCAGAGCCAGCTGTACCCGCCCCCTCCCCCGTCCGTTCCGCCAGTCAGCGCTGGCGAATCGGAGCGGGGAGAGTGGAATCCAGCCCCCCCTGTAACGGCAGAGAGCCGTGACAGGATCGAGAGGTGAGCGAACCCGGTATGTGTTCGCTCACCTCCCGATCTACTAAGCCGACCTGTGACAGTCTCATTGTCACAGGTCGGCTAGAACTATGAGGTGAGTGAAAAGCTCTCACCTCATAGTTCTCCTTTAAGCCCAACTAGGAGCAACACAGGGGACACCCTCTTAGATGGCAATTCTATGACACCCTAAACTCGATGTAATCATTCATCAGAGTTGAATGATGATAGATGTCACTCAACCTGGAAGACTGTGGACATCTATTATTGGAAAAATATTACTCCGGGGGAAGCACATGAGAGGAGGTGAGTGTTGGGGCCGAAGCTGTTTTTTATTTTTAACACCTCCAGGGGAACTATTTTTTTTAATTTGGCCAGAGTTAACTTTACCTTGCAGCTGCTATCTTTTCCTCTGCATTAGAGCCATAGCCCTTGCATTTATGTTTCTTATGGTCTGAAATCTCTATTCACCAAACCAAATTATACACTACAATACAACTGATCTGAGATTACCTGTATTACATGTATTGTTTGTCATTTGGTTTTTAGCCTGTGTTACATACCGTTCCGTTGATATTGTTCCAGACAAGAAGACTTTGGTTTATGCTTATTTTTTGATTGACTGTGTCATACCGGCCAACCATCGTCATTTTAAAAGACTTGTTTATCAACTGCCAATTAAATAAGCTATAGCTGCGTAAAACTTCACCAAACGAATTAAAGTGGAATGTTTCATCATTGTAGGTAAAGCTGTTGTTCTTTAGTTCTGCAAGGAGCTGTAAAACAAAAATGACGCATGACAAGCCTTTTCAACAATATTGACAATCTTTAGCTACTGTATTAGGTTTGATTGTACCTAAAATAAATGCCTCATCAACATAAAATAATAAACAATATACAAAAAAATTCATAAAACATCAAATATACTACCCAGCCCTA